AGAATATATCTTCTTTTTGTTGTATTTTGGCAGTTGTGTATAAAGTTAAAATCATCAATAATATTCAACGTTAAACTGGTATACAATTAAAAACATTTTATTTAGGCCTATCTATGGTCTTCAAAAAGTTGACGACAACTACATGTTTCGACATTACAACGTCATCCTCAACTTTTTGAAGGCCATAGATAGGCCTAAATAAAATGTTTTTAATTGTATACCAGTTTAACGTTGAATATTATTTATGATTTTAACTTTATAAACAAGTGTCAAAATACAACAAAAATAAGATATATTCTGATGATGAAACTATATGCTTTGGTTCTCTTGGCAACAGGTTTACTATGCAATAAAAATTTTAGGTTATGTATTTGAAAATAATCAGACGTACCAGGACTTCATCAAACCCTGTATATTCCTGCACCAAGTACAACAGAGGTTGAACGGCTCTTAGTAGTGTAGTCGAACCACACGTCTTCAAAATAAAGCGACTTTTGGAGACAAACATGCTGCTTTCGCTACAAAATAACACAAAAAAACTCTGAGTACAGATCACTGCAAGGATGTGCAGACTTACCTCGCTGAACGCCGTAGGGTCGGTGCAAAGACTGCACTCGGTAGCAAGTAACAGCCCCCACACTCCGCTACGTGCCAGCACTAAATGCATTATCTCTTGTTTTTCTTTTGTGTTTAAAGTTTTAATGAAATAGCAAACACCAAAAAAAAAACAAAAACATTAAGACTTCATGGAGCCCCCCAAAAGTGGATATGCATCCCTTCAGGTATGTTGCATACTAATAAGTATTGAATACCACCAACTTTCTCATACATACAACTATTCTAACAAATACACATAGAAGCAAAAGTAAAAAATATTAGTATTACTAATAAACTACACTCAATAGAAAAAAATTAAAAATTGACCTAATTAAAAGTAGTAGTTTATAAAAATTGGATTTTTCACTAAATAAAAAGTTCACTGCTTCACCTACAAAAAAATAAGAAGTTAGATTTATTTTGTATCTTGTTTACCAAGAAATTATTATTATTATTATTACTATTTTTATGAACTCATACACACCTGGAATACTGCATAATGTTTTACTTTACCAGATATCCAACACTAAGCCTAGCACTTTGAAAGTAACATTAATCTCCTTATCAGGGTGTAATGGTATGAAAACTGAGTTTGGTTTAACAGATAATTCAATATGACAAATAAATTTCATGAATAATCTAGATTACTTTCTAATTAAATGTATATATAAAAAAAAACGATTCTACTGCCACCATGCTGAAACAAAATTTTTTTTAAAAACTCTGGCTTGAGAGTAGATTTTCGATGTCGGTTAAGCTGATTTTCTTAGTTACAATTCTTACCATCTACTGAATTGCATCAACATTTATTTTAACAGGAAATCATGGTTCAAAATGTCTTATGTCTGTGAAATTAGTTAACAATATCTGTTCCCTTTTTTTAAAGTGATGTTATAATACGATAGATGAGGTGTTCCGTGAAACATGTACCACACAGGGAAGTGGAAATAACAGTATACTCCTGTAAAACAAAAATATGTAATTCCGTAAACTTCTAAAATTCCGTAAACTTCTAAGATGGCACAGAATACAAATTTAATTTAATATAGTAAGAAAGTTCAAAAAGAAATTCTAGTTTACTAGACTAAAACAATGAACAAGTAACTGACTTTAAACAGTTGGTGAAAAACTAATTTTTTCAACAAATTTCATTAAACAAAGTTAAAAGATTAGGAATAATTGTGGTCTGGTGAATGATGTTATTTAAGTATTTAACTAATATATAGTAAAAAATATAGATCAAGCTTCCATGTTGTGTAATATTACTTTTCTCAGAGATATTTCTTTGTTATTAAGCACAAAACTGTGCTGTCCCCATCTTGAGAACCAAACCCCAATTTTTAATGTTACAAGCCCTCAGACTTACAAGTGAGACCCTGTGGATGTGGGGGCTTCTTGGTGATGTTCACAAAATCTTATTTATGTTGTAAAAACGGAAGCAGTAACTTACAACAATTACCCTTTTTTTTTATATATATAAAGTCCCCAAGATAAATTTTTGTGTAATTATAAATAACAAAAAATTTTATACATGGCTTTATGCAAGTTATATCCCATCATTATATTTTTTTAACAAAAATTACACACAACATATTGTCATCAATTAAACAAATTGTTATACATTAAGATATCCGATGGTTAATAACTTCATGATTCTGTTATAGTTCCTTAAGGTAAATTATTCTAATTTAAAATACATCTTACACCGACGTCACAAATTTCCAGAATTTGGACACAAAGTAGACTTTTTTTTTTTGGATACAATCTAAATGTGTTGCTTATGTATTATATTCAAACGGTGAGAGAAAACACAACTTGTTACTTAAATATTAAAGAACTTGGTAGTTGTACATTATGATCATCACAAATACTAAGCCCTGTCGAAAATGCAGTCCACTTTTGGAGGTTTCCTTGAGCCAATAAAACACTACTGATAAAAATACTCAAATTTGGAATTAAGATTTTAAACAGAATTTTTGAAAAGTACTGGCTCTATAACTGTGGGGATATAATCTATTAGCAAATCTCTAGAAGGTTTTTACTGCATGGTTTTACCTCCCCAAGAGGAAGAATGGAAAAGAGGGATGGACTGGGATGGGGGTGTAAAATTCACAGCAACTAAGTGGGGCAAGAAATATATGGGATGGGGGTATAAGTACACACAAGCAGTGTTGCATGGGTGACGGAGTTATACTCAGAGATGAAAATCAGTTGAACAATAAACAAGTCACAAAATTGTGCTGGACAGCTGGGTTGGATTACATTATAACTTAAAATATTAACCATCGTCTGTATGCAACATTCACTGTAATTTACTTACGATGAACAATGCCACAAAATACTGTCGTGTATCTGCTCGTTTGTTAATTTCCGGTATATATTATTTCCGAGAAACTTCAGCGATACAAGTCCTTTCTT